GATTTTGATTGACTCTGGAGCGTCAACGAATCTGATTAAACCCGGTCTGGCGTCCACAGTTCTCAGCGAACAGATGGTACAAGCACGACGTTTTGATGGTACCTGGACATCAAGTCAACCCACAAAGAAGGTGGAAGATACCATTTTAATCGACGGTATGGAGTTCCCTAAGATGCAGTTTACAGAATGGGATCTACCGGATACACATGACTTGATATTTGGTCAACCATGTTTTACCATGTACAACCCCCAGATCAACTGGCGTACACAACAAATTGAAGTTGCAGCACACACGACGTTCGAAGACGTGGACGGGCCGACATTTCATGCGAAGATGACTCGCGGAGCCTACGAGGAAATATATCAATTAAAGGTTACCACCATAGACCATCAGGAGATACCGCACGAGCTACAGCCAGTGCTAGACGAGTACAAGGACGTATTCCCCGACCAACTTCCAGAGGTAATGCCTCCAACGCGATCGGTCAAATTTGAGCTACAACTATAGCCTGATGCGGTGCCGAGCTCTAGGACCCCCTTCCGTCTATCGAAAGTGGAGCAGGAGGCGCTCCAACAATTTGTGGAGGAGAATATACGGAAAGGATGGATCGAGGTGTCCAACTCTCCATGGGTTTTAAACATTTCTGGGATTCCAAAAAAGGATCCTGTAACCGGGCGGTTCCCTAAACGCGCAGAATGGCTCCGCAGCGGAAATTCCAAAATCCCCATTAGATGGGTCATTGACTACCGATATGTTAATAGCATGTCTGTCGTGGCAAAAATTCCTTTGCCGTTGATCGAGGAACTGTTCGACCGCATGGTGGGATGTAAGCTTTTATCGCTTCTTGATCTTGCGCAAGGGTACCATCAAATGGTAGTCTTACCATCAAGTAGACCCTATACGGCTTTTCGCACCCATAAGGAAACGTATCAATGGTGTGTAGCACCCCTGTGTTTATCTGGAATGCCTGGTGTCTGGTCGCGGCTTATGTGAACGTTGTTCGACCAATTCGGAACATTTGTCGTGGTGTATCTTGACGACATATGTATCTTCTCCAGTACAATGGAGGACCACGTCGGCCACGTTCGCGCAGTATGCGCCGTGTTACGCAAGGAGAAGCTTTATGCTCGACTCTCCAAATGTGCGTTTGGTCGTAACGAGATTGCATTTTTAGGGCATATGGTTTCCGACGAAGGTCTGCAGGTCGACCTAAAGAAGACTGACGTTATTGCACAGTTTCAAGCTCCGACGTGTCGCAAGGAGCTGCTGAGTTTTCTCGGGCTGGCTGGGTATTACCGTCGCTTCATCTGCGATTTTGCCAAGCTTTCACGTCCTCTTCGAGCATTAACCAAACACGAGACTCACTGGAGCTGGGGCCAGGATCAACAGCGATCATTTAACGCGTTAAAACTCGCACTTCAGCAGGATCCGACGCTAAAGCTGCCCGACTTTACGCACCCTTTTATTGTCACTACGGATGCGTCTGGGTTCTGCATGGGCGGTGTCCTCTCTCAGCGCATCAATAATAGCGACCACGCCATCGCATTTTATTCGAAACATCTGGGCCCCCACGTCTTAAAATGGCCCGCTCATGAAAAAGAGCTGCTAGCAATCAAGAATGCTTTAGAAAAATGGCGCCCGTATCTCCACGGACGACACTTTTCAGTCTACACCGACAAGTCAGCGTGCAAATGGATGCTCCACCATCCTAAAGTGTCGCCCAAGATGGCACGCATGCTGACGTTCTTTTCCCAGTTCGACTTTGTCTTACATCATGTTAAAGGACGGTCTAACGTCGTGGCCGATGCATTATCTCGACCGGCCGTATCCGAAGATCCCTCCAGCGTGCGCGCTGTGCCTACGTGCCCAGTTCCCGATCTGTCGCACGTCGTACATGAACGTACGGATGCTTGTGCCCTCAACTCTCACCTTTTGCAGCAACACATGGTTCACTCCGCTCTCATGCGGTCCATTCCGCTCGAAGTCGCACACCTCTTACTTGACGATGTGGAGTTGCGGGGGAGTCTCGTCCGATAGGAATCGCTCAGGAGCAAATCCACAACGCTGCGTTTCACGTGGTGCGCGCACATCTCAGTGACAAAGTGCGAAAAACTATCCAGCAAGGATATCACACAGACAAGGTTTTCCAAAAGATCTGGAGAACTCAACAATCGAAGGACAACTTCATAATCGACAAAGGACTCATATATGTCAAACAAGACGAGGCAATGCAACAGATATGCATTCCAGACATACCAGAAATGAAGACGAAGATTCTATACGAGTTTCACGATGCAGCCACAGCGGCACATCCAGGAGTGCGCCGAACTTACATAAAGCTAAAGCAATGGTACTACTGGCCGAAGATACTTGAAACCGTGCAGAAGTACGTGGAGACTTGTGAAACATGCGCGCGATGGAAGTCTAACAGCCAGCGGAAGAAAGGATTAATGATTCCTATTCCCGTTCCGGAGGAATGCTGGGAAGTAGTATTAATGGACTTCATTACTGGGCTACCCGTGTCGGAAGGCTATGATGCTATTTGCGTCGTCGTAGACAAGTTGTTAAAGAGGCCGATTTATGCACCGACATATACGACTGCCGATTCGAAAGACACCGCAGATCTATTTTTCGACGCTGTAGTCCGACATCATGGATTGCCGAAGGTAATTATCAGCGATCGGGATCCAAAGTTCACGGCGAACTTCTGGAAATCACTGATGAATATAATGGGTGTCAAGCTAAGCATGACGACCGCTCATAGAGCGCAATCAGATGGGCAAACGGAGCGCCAAAACTTGGTGTTGAAAGACGCTTTACGCTGCCTGGTATCGTACAGTGGCGACGATTGGGTCAAACTACTGGGTACTGTAGAGTACGCGCACGCTACATCGGTGAACGCATCTACTAAGCTCACCCCGTTCGAAATCGATACTGGGAGAAAGGTATCCAATCTGATTTCGCATGAATACGGAGGCCACGCTGATCCGAACTCCCATTCAATTTCAGAATTTGCCTCCAAGTTTGCCAACGATCGTCAAAAACTAGTACGCAAGGCACGCGAAAACCTGGAACAAGCCCAGGAAAGGCAAAAGAAGCACTACGACTCGAAAAGAAGAAGCGTTACTTTCAAAGTAGGTGACTTAGTTCTGTTGGATGCCAAGAACCTATCGCTTAGAACAGTGAACGCTCACGTTGATCTAAAGAAAGCGAAGCTGGCAGCAAAAAAAGTGGGACCGTTTGAGATAACCAGGATGGTCGATCCGAACGTAGCCAAGTTAAAGCTACCACGACATATGAAGAGACTGCACTCCTCATTCAACATTGACCTACTATTCCCATACAAGCCAAAAGCCTCCGAGTTCGCTAGACGACCAATTCCGAAAGCAGCACCAGTTATATTAGAGCCAGACACCGGAGAGCAACTACACATTGTGGAAAGCTTGCTTAGTCGTCGTCAGCGCAATCGCCAAAAAGAATGGCTAGTCAAATGGCATGGCCTCCCGGGGTGTGACAGTACTTGGGAGCGCGAGAGATCCATCCGCCACGTTTCGCATTGGCAGCAACTAGTCCAAGATTTTCGAGACGGCCAACGCGAATTCAAGTCCAGGGAGATGTCAGGCCGCTAGGTACGTACGGCCTAGTACAGGAGTAATTACAGCGTAAAAAGCAAAAAAGGATAAGTCTGACGTCATTGGAGGACGTCACAGTCTGACGTCATCAGCTGACGTCATGAGATGACGTCACTGAAGAAGCTTCTAGAAGCTTCCAGAAGGGTAGGCTTAGAATAGCACAGGGTAGCGAAATAAGGACCTACGTTAATTCAGTTTCCAATTTACCTAGTGAACGAGAAGTCATCACAAAAGCTGGACGGATGGCGTACCAGAAAGCTAATACTCTACGCAGCTCTTCGATAATCAACACGAGTTGACACATGCATGTACTCGCATTGACTGTCAACTCGTCTCAATCGTTGCACCCGTAACTCATGGAAACCTTGTTTTTGATACAAAGTCAATTGCGCTTATGTTACATTCGTGTACACGCGATACTTACCAGGTCTACACTGCCCGGATGAACCCGTGCCGCTTGCACAAACTAACGGGGTATACTCGCTCAAGTTTGATGAGGATCCTTGGTCCATTCTATTGGGAGCTTTTGGCCTGCCTCGCGCCGGCGACTACCATATAATGCATCTGTGTATAGACTTCATGGTAGCATTTCACAGACCTAATGGCTCGTAGCATCCAACAACGTTGAAAATCAGATCTAGTGGCACTTTATTCTCACGAGTAGCCATACCTACCTGATCTTTCTCGTGCTTGTCTACCATTTGAAAAGTCGATCGAAGTGCACACTTGATTACACGCGTGTGACTCCCATGCGTTTATCTCAGATCGTTTCTGTACACACGCATGATAGAACAGCAGCGACAAGCATTTCGTTAAGGTCGTCATTAGTCTGCCGTGTTTTGAGTCTGATCTTCATGGCGCTACTGATCACGACTCATTTGCACATCTTACTCCTGGAAGAAGCTGAAACGATCGATTGAACAAATGAAATGCGTTCAACCTGAGTGCAGCTAGTCATTACTAGCAAACAGGTAGAGATTATCAGAATGTGACGTTGCGATCCCGCATGAAGAAATTAACTTCATCGTCGGAACGTCAAACGATGCAGGGCTTAGACGCTAGCACAGGCACAAGACCCATTGATGGGTTGAAAAATAAAATTCCCAGCGACGTAACTGCTCAGCTTTGGTTACTGCAGTACATATCTGCAAGTATGTTAGTGCTTGTCCAGATCGAGACACACCGGCTATGCTAAGTCGAGTACACTGCAATTTTGTAGCTGTCGGGTCGTATTCATCGTTGCGCTTTTACCTGCTTCCTGCTTGAGCCACTAAGAAAAAAGCAAGCTACACTGCCTAGTTTGGTATTGCAAGTCAAGATATACAGTGCGTACAACAATGTAGCCCACCTGCAGCGCAACTAATTGCTTACGAATACCGTCCAGCTTCTGGTAGTGTCTCTAACCAGCGCAGCAGGTGGAAATGATTGTGCTCCCGAGCCTCGTCAACAATGGCCTCGAACCCAAAGTGCCTCCGATCGTGGTCATATAGCCACTGGAGCAATTCTAAATCTCCTCTTGTCGCCGCCTCAACCGTCTTCGGAAGTCGCGAACGCAGGCGGTTGTGCTCTTTTAGAAATTGAAGCACTGAGACTGAACGCGACTCGCCTGCCATGGCCGTACAGAACTCGCTGCGGTTCCAGAAAAGAAATCGCACGACGTCAATGTGACCATTTTGGGCAGCTCCGTCCATAGCCGCTGTTGTGCAGCCTTCATTACGATTTTGGTGAAGAAATTCCACACTGTCTAGGTGACCATTAGTAGCAGCTCGGTCCATTGCAGCTACTGTGCACTGTACATGCTCAATACTTCGGTGCAACCAGCACAATATTGCCAAATGTCCACCTGCTGCGGCGTCGTCCATCGCGCGGCCCGTAAAGCGATACCCTTGATGATGGAGCCACTGAATCAACTGAAGATCGCCAAAACTCGCAGCTCCGTCCACGCGAATACGATGACGGTGTCGAGCTAGCGAGGGAAACGTTTCTTGCATCCACTCGATAATCTTTTGGTGACCACCTGTGGCAGCTCCACGAACAACATGTGCTCGACGACAATGCACTGTATATTGATTGGCATGCAGCCATTGCAACACCTCGAAATATCCATTTTTGGCCACAGCATACAACTGGCTCGTATAAACTTCAAAGCGGAAGATCACACTAGATCCAGCAGGCACCCTATCATGCAGCCACTGCAGAATATGGCGCTGTCCGTACGTCACGGCTGCAATTAACGCCGCCTGCATCCACGACGTATACGCTACGACCACATTATCCATTACATACTGCACGATGTGCAAGTGTCCTCCTGCAATGGCATTTTCCAACGACTTGAACGATTTGATCTCATAGTACCTCGAGTCGTTGAGCCACTGAATCACTTCCAAGTGTCCATGTAGCGCCGCTATTTCCAGCCCTCGTCTAGTGCACCGATTGCCCAGTACACTGTCCAGATATAAAACCACTTTCATCCGGTTCTGCGCTATTGCAGCGTCCATCACATTCCACCCGAATGCATACGGACCTTTCATTTTACAATACCACTGCACTAGGTCCAGTCGTCCATTAGCTGCTACATGAGCCACTGCTTCTTGACTATCCACTGCTGCATCGTCTACCATTTTATTACTGAACTCATCGTGCAGATATTGCAGCATTTGTAAATTTCCGCCGTATAAAGCGGCTCGCTCGGCCCCATGAAATTGACCTTTGGGATAGTATGAAGACCGTAGCCATCGTACGCCGGCAAAAAACCCTCGTGCTGCAGCGTGATTTAACGCGGTTTCAAACTGATATTGTTTGTAACTGCGCACGAGTTCGGATGACCAATAAAACACTTTTTTCTTTTCGCGAGCTGCGGCGTGTTGTAACAATTGTAACGACTGCGAGTTTCGCGGTTGATGCTGTGCGGCTTCGGCGACTGATAACACCTTGGATACATCCAGAAGGGCCTTAAGTGTCACGACCACGTGATTTAGAGCTTGTACGTGTGAATAGTGACGTAAGACGACATCAATGCACACGAATGTGGGGCGAAAAGAGGACGGGGGCGAATAAGTACTTGCCATGCTGACCTGTGCTGGTTTAAAACGCCGTGGGTTTCAAACGGGACCAAGGGATTCAAACCGTGACCGAGACACGCTTAACCCCCCCGCAGCCGATCAGATATCGTATTCTCAATTTAGAAATATCACCTCTCACGTTTAAAATCGCTATTAAGCATCCTACTAAGAGCATCTCCTAACTTTATCTCTAAAATAGAGTGCATTTCGAACGGATGACACGATTTACAATCTCATCTGGCTCAATGCCACACACCGGTGGCGCACCACTTCAAAATCCCCACACTTTGTAGTTCTTTTAGCTCATATCAAGTACCGCACTCTTGCTGGTTACTTGTGCTCTCGCGTCAACAATAGTCTTCGCTTTGGTAATGCATCTGACACGGTCTATAGTGCTACGATCTTGATATGCTGTAGATGAGACCCGTAAAGCGTAATTTATCCTGGATGACGATGACGACGAGCTGGTGGTCTCCACTATTTTGGCCTTCACCGCGTTTGTACCGCCTTCATTACGCAGCGGTTCTACTTCAGGTAGAAGCGCCAATATTAACCGTGACCTTGTGGCTGAACATCAACGTATGACGTGCGGTTATTTTGACGCGAGCCCCGTTTCTCCAAGTCGCCTCTTCGCCGTTGGTTTCGAGTGCAGCGGCCTCTCTTCCTCCGTAATGTACATGCTGTAAAACAACACGGCCAATGTTGTAGCAACGCCCATTACGTGACAGTCTGTGCTTTGTTTTTTGACCTACATGTCGTGTATACCTAAGGCAACATTTCTATGTGGCAAGTGGGATGCAGTGGGTAAACTTGGACCGTTCCCCAATTAAAAAAAACCACTGTAGCTATTCGTCTACTATCATATGGTTCGTCGGCTGACTCGGTCGACGAGTACGTGCGTATGAGAAAAAGCACGGCACTTAAATGCGTTGCTCGCTTCTCACCCGCCGTGCGCGAAGTCTTCGGCGAGTATACCTCGGTCAGCCCAACGCACTAGACGTTTAACGCCTACTTCAACTTGAAGATACACGAGATTGGCCAGGCATGCTTGGATCATTGGACGCATCCACTGGCAAATAGATAAATGTCCACCAGCCTGGTCCGATCAACATATCGATACCATGAAAGAACGCTGACAATCGTCCCCGAGGTCGTAGCGTCTTCCGTCTTCTGCTTTCTGCACGCAGTATTTGGCACACCAGGTGTAACGGGGCACCCTTTGTTTGGGGTGCCACGAAACTTCACGTACACTAGTACGTGCAGAGGAAGCTAATTTACTTAAATGACCCGTTTAAGTAAGGGTGAAAAGAGAACTGTATTTAATATATTCAAGCCATCAATATAACTGCAGTCTTTATCGAACTACTAAAATACATTGTCGTATGGCGACAATCTGCTCACCACTCATTGCGCGAGTCTAGCAGCGATTGGTGGTAATCTATGGTTGATATGTCTTGATTAACCAATCTTTGATCAGCGCATGAATGTTATCCTACAAGGGGATACTATTTCTTTAAAATTATCCATCTCGAATAACATTGGTAGAATATTGTCACGCTAGACAATCTCCCTATTGACACCATTTGGTGTCAATATCATGTAACGGGATACCCCGTTGCATCACGCCCCCCCTTAACCATCAATCACCTGTTGATTGAAAAGAATTGATTGGGAAAAAGTGACCACCGTTGGATCACCCTGGGAAAGGGAGCACTTGTTGGTCAAATTCCATTTATTTGCCAATCTAACGCATAATTTTGAAACCCATGCGAGTTGCTACTGCAGCAGTAAGAAAGGCGGCTGCACGCATGCGTGCAATCGGAGAGAGTACTTCTCACGCCTCAGCAGCAGGTGATTCGTCGCCTGTTGTTGTGAACAGTCCACGTGGTGAGTCTCCACGTCCGACAGGCACATCCGCTGCGTAGGCAGCGGGTACCGCGAATCGCAATGTAGATAAGCCTAAAATATAGCTCATCTATTCTGGCGAGTCGGATGATGCATCCGAATCGAAGGCGACACCTCACACCTCCGGATCGCCTAGGCGGACACTGCAAGAGCTAGGTTGACTGGATCCGGAAATGTGGCGGCATCATGTCCGGGATCTTCAGACCGAGCGATTCTTTTGACGAATCCTCGCCTCACGCAAGTTTATTCGACGATAGGACGCATGGTAATGGTGGTGATGCCCCTATGCATCACCACGAGATAATCACCTTGAAAGATCGAGTTGCCACTGGTGTCAGTGCTCGTGCTGACACCATTTAAGAGACCAGGGACCAAAATGTCCTGTTTTACGCTCCTTAAAATAAAGTCTCCTTGGATGCCGTCAATTAAAATGTTAGATCGATTGGCCGGTATGACCACTAAACGGGATCTAATCACGCTTTTTGACTGTAGGAGGATCTGTCCTTCTAATTCCAGCACGGAAACTATTCGTGCTGAGGAAGAGTTCTTCACTGATAAGTTTTCAAACATCGGTGGTACAATGGCAGCCATGGTCAAGACGGTAAGGCCTTGGTGCAAGGATAGAATGCCCTGATTCATAACATCAAGTGCATTGACCGTGAGGCTTGGCTCGATAATTTGATGCAGCTTGCATCAGTTTTATCAAACAAAACCCAGCAGGGGTGCGATACAAGTTACACCGGCTGTCAAAAGAGGAATAATCACCATGTCTCTTGTGTTTTTTTTTGTGTACAGGTTGCCTGGACTACTCGAATTGTGCCCCAAGGGAGGCCTACCTCCGCAATGTTCCCTACTGGTCGGCGCGCATCTCTTATGAGATAACCGAAGGGATTGACACTTTGCAGTCCCTGTACTCGCGTTTGGGGAGGTCGTTTTTCGACGGCCCTCCTTCGAAAGCAGCGGGTGGGTATCGTCATACTGCTCTACGAGACCCCAAAAAACATCAACAATTAGCTAAATACGAGGCTCCCAACTGTCCTAGGCCGGTGAATGGCCACTACAGCGGACGAAGTAACTCTCCCGGACGCCATTAACGTCGCGGTGATATAAAATACGCTCCACCAGAAAGCGTTGACCACCGCTTGAGTCCACCAAATGATGTAATGGCGGTGGGAACACCTGATCCGGCTCGAGGGTCGGATTAGCTTGACGTTCAAGAGCTAAATCGTGAAACGTTGCAAGATGACCTGGCTCACGAACAGACTCGGCGTTATGAGCTCCAGCATCTTGTAAGGGATAATTACAATTCCTTAGCGAACGGTCGTTCAAATGATCGCGCCGTGTTTGAGTTCACACAACTTGAGAACGAACTTTTGACTCTCTCTCTCTGTGGCAAGCTGCAGCCAGCTCGTCAAGACAGCGCTTAACTACTTAAGCAGGTCGCTTCGCTAGTAGACCAGACTGGCTCGTTCGAACGGGACCACTCAAAGGTGGTCTCGGCTCTCGACCGCGTATGTGTTCTTTGCCTCTTGAAACGGGCTCGTACTGATAGTACGGGCGGAGAAGTCCAACTTAAATCGCAGGATGAGTACGCATCTTATGAGGCAGTTCAATCGTGTATACGTTGCCCGTTCGGAGCATCACACGAAATGGACCGATGTACTTAGGCAGTAATTTACTTCTGCCCGCGTTTGTCACTGCGTATTTCGGTAAGTTTGCTGTAGACCGTAAAACTAAATCTCCTTCATCAAATGAAAGAATATTTGCTCTTCCATGTTTGTCTGCATTTCTTTTCTGCCTGTCCAGTGCATCGGCAATAGAGCCTTGAACGAAGCGGACAACCGCTTCGCGAGTCAGTAGGGTTTCCTCTGCTGATTCATCCTTGTCAACAGCAGTGCGATTCGTGTGCACTGCTGAAAGAACGTTGTCTTCACTAGTGAGGGTGTCATCGTCATCACCTTGGCAGTCATTGGCGATGCTGAATATACCAGCATCGTCGTCATCATCATCATTGATCTTGATCGCACCGACATCGGCATCCATCACGTCGACACCATTGTCGACGGGTGATGAGCTAGAACCAGATCGATTTTTGTTCGAGCGAGTCCACCCCCCTTGAACTGGAGTCACACTTGTAGACGGCGGGTAAACGTGGATGGTGTAGGCCATTTGCAAAGAATGGTGTATGCGTTGTCGACGCATGCAACGAGTTTTGATGGCGAAGTCCGGCATCGGCAAGAACTCACTCCAGCTCGTAAACGAGTGGACGTACCATTGAAGTATCTCTTCAAGAAAGCGGTTGACGCGTTCCGTCTGACCCACCTGTTTCGGGATAGTCAGAAGTTGACATCGTCAAACGTGTTCCAAGTGAACGGAACACGGATTGCCAGTACTCCGCTGTGAAGCGGGGGTCTCTATCGGACACGAGTTCACGGGGTCACTCGTGAAGTCGGAAGATAGTATCGATGAATACACGCGCACAGCTCTGGGCTGTGATTGACTACGGTACAGCGACAAGATGTGCCATCTTGCTGAACCGATCAACAAACGCAAGAATACCAGTATTCTTGTGAACGTCTTTTGGAAACACGAAGACGAAGTCCATCGATACGGACTGCCAACACTCTGCTAGAATTATAAGAGGATGCAAGGGTGCGCAGATGAAGTCTAGAATTCACCCGTTGACAAACTTCGCAAGCGCGGATGTATTTCCACATAAAATCACACTGACGAGGCCAGTAGAAGTCACAACTTACCATGAGATAAGTCTTTTCTCTACCGCGATGCCAACTTGTTGAAGCATCGTGACACTCAGACATGATGCGCAATCGCAAATCATTATGAGCCGGAACGACGACACGAGGTGTGTCGCCGTTAACTGCTGTATAGTACAGCAGTCCCCCACAAATCGAATACCGTTCGGTTGAAGAGCGGTATTGAGACGACAAGCTTCTCAAAGATTGACTTCATGGATTGAATACATAATCCATCTATCGCAGAAGAGACTCATCTTCTGCGTATGCTTTTTGCACTTCGTCGAGAAGATTCGACGACGAAACACTCACTGAAAGCGTTGCAACAGTGTGGTCACCCCTACTGTT